TCCCCACTGTTACTAAATGAATCATCAGCTTAATTTGATCCCTCTTAGGCAATTGAAAAAAAAAAAAAAAGAATCTTCCACCTTGATCTTGGTCCTTCACTCACATGGATGTTGGGGAAAATACTGGCATCTCTAATAAATAATCCCAAAGCAGAAAATTCCTAATTACAGCCATTGCAATTAATATAGTGCTACCTGGAATTCACTAAAGCTTGCCATGGCTCAATTTTCTGCAAACATCTTCTGTTGCCTATGTGGCTCCACATTAAAGTGTCAGTGCTCCCCTTCGGTCTCTGAGTAACTGACGTGATGCTCTGGGTTTTGAAGATAGCGTAGTGTAAGCCGCACGCCCAGGATACAGTTCCCTAAACCAACAGGGATTGGGAGGAAATAAGCAGTCCAGACTGAAGTCTCCAGCAAAATTGGGACAGAGAACTTCTTGTCGAAGTCCCCTAGCAGCCCACCTGATGTGCAGCTTGCTTTCGTTTAGAAGCAGGACCCAGAGGCCCACGAGGGCAAGAGAGCCTACAACGCCCACACGCCTACCAGGCCCAAGGCGAGCCCCATTTCTCCCAAGCAGGGGCTTTCTCCACTCTCAGACTCCCACCACCTCGGCGAACACAGATTTGCAACAGGCACCTTAACTCCCCCCCGTATCTCAAAGAAACAGAGACCTCTGGGCTTCAAGGTGCCACAGGAGGCCAGATGCCTTCTAAGTCTTTGGGAGCAAAAACTGCGAAGCAAACCCAACACCATCATCAACTCCAGCGGTTGAGGTCCTGACACCAATGTTCTCCTCCCCCAGACACACCCAGGCTTTCTCAACTTCAGCTCGGAATGCATGTCTCCTTTCCCTGGGAACTTCCACGTGCCTCCCCAAAAACCATCCCGCACTGCTCATTGGCAGAATGGAACCCGCCAAGCCTAGCCACAATGGAATATATCTTCACTGAATGTTTTCTCCACTTAAAAAAAATAAATAAATACCATGTCACAGTGTTTGGGTCCTTGATAAACATGACAGGAAATCACTTGCAAAGAAGAATCCAAACCATGGGTTTTAAAGAGTATTTGTGACAGATTGGGACGAAGGTGAAGTGAGGCTGTGTGGACTAGCATGGGCTCCCAACCCTCCTGTCTCCTCCTCCTCCTTTTCTTCCTCCCAGGCAGCGTGGATCACAGGGAGCAGCAGGACCCTGGCTGAGACAAGCGGGGACTGCCTCCCTTCCCTGCAAAGAACAGACACAGGGGAGAGTTCCGCTCAGAAGCACCTGCAGCTGTGGGCAAGAGGTACTTTGATGTAGATCCACTCTGCAGGCAGAACTGGGGCAGGAAATTCTCTCTTGATTCTGAAATGAAGTCTTGAATTACCCTTCCAGTACACTTACCTGTCTCAGCTACTCCTCGGCGGAAGCCAAATCTTCAAGTGAACCCAGCGCTTCTGATAGACAGCTTGTGATGCAAATAAGTAGGATGTCGCCCTGGGAAATCTAATGTAATCAACACTGGGGCCACCTCACTGAACTGCTTTATAATGTGGTACTGTCATCTTCGTTTTTCTAAAATGATTTATTTATTCAGGAGTTACCACTGTGACATAGCTGGTAAAGTCATTGCACCCCTTACGGCCACCAGTTCAAGCCCCAGCTGCTCCACTTCCAGTCCAAGAGCTTTTGAAAAAGCCAGGCATACAGTAGCTCTCTCCAAGCCCTAATCCTGATGAGGTCCTTGGATGATTTGAGGGGAAAATGATGTAGGCATTACGTAAATTTTCCAGCCCCCTGGCTCCTCCTGTCTCCTTGTCTTGGGCCATTTCCATGTGTGTTGGTCAAAGTCAGTGAGAAAACAGTGAGAAAATGTTGACGTGGAAACTCGTGGTCAGTAGCATTGAGTTTTATTGCTTCAGCTCCAGCAGAAGGGCTTTGTGCAGAAATATTTGAACACTTGAATATTTGATATCTTGGAAAGTTTAGATGCACTGGATTGCCATCATTGGTCCTTTAAATTGGAATACCTAGAGTTGGTTGGTTGAGGATTTTTCAAAATTTGACAGGAAAAAAATGAAATTAAAAGATCAGTTTCTTTTAATCCTGAAGAAATCCTTCGGGAACTGCTGCAGAATTTATTTCACGATACTCTTGAGCACCACTCAGACTGCCCACCATTCCGCCAGGAGATGTTAATATCTTTGCATTATATCCTCTGGTTGAACATAAGGTGACAGTCAGTGATTTTAATGTATAAGGTTTGTGTGCACATATCAGAAAGAATTTTCTTCATAATTTGTGTTCTTTCTGCCCCAAAATGTCACTCCTTATTAAAAGCACGTTGAATCTAGAGTTCAACAGAGTCCTGCAGCATTACCTGTCTCTCACTGACATACCCTTTGGCCCATCCCTAAAAGCTCACCACCTTGCTTTAAGAGTTTTCTTTTCAACATTCCCACCTGATACAAAAAAAGCAAACCAGAGGGTCAGAATGAGTCCGTGGAAAGGATTGTCCTAGCTCTGCATTCCATCAGACCCCAACCTCTACTTCCTTCCGAATCCTCACCCCGCGACTTAAGCATTAGTGTTAGCTCCAGTTTAGTGCAAGAAATGGAGCCTCCGAAAGCCCTAGTAATTTTGCCTAAGTCCACACACAAGAAATGATGAACTTGAAAGTCAGACTGACTCTGGACTCCATAAAGGAATTGAGTAGCATGCTCCCGAACCCTTCTTGATTCACCAAAACCCACAGTATGCAGGACAGTGCAACACAGACATTGCTGCAAACTCAGTGACTCTTGAATGAATGAATAAATGCTAGTTTGCCTTCAGTAATACCTGTACCGCTTTGGGGGGAAAAAAAAAAAACAGAATAAGCTAACCAGAAGATCTGCCCACTGTACTTGCATTTGGTGCATAGCTACGCTTAAGACCAGTCCCAGTAATCCAAGATTAACCTACATTAGGGCTCATGAGCTTAGCCTACATAAATGGCTCTGGTGTCCGATTCTCAGCTTGAAGAGACTGAGGCTGGGGAAGACACCGAAGAACAGCTGAGGAGTTTGTCAAACGATCCACACACAGCTCCCACCCACCCCCGCACTCCCCAGTGAATCCCAGCCCTGGCTGTATCCAGCTAGGGCATGCCTCATGCATTTCCACAGTCACCCCACGCCGCTTGCACTCTTCCATTGAAAAGAGCCACTGTGTGGAGTCAGCAGTGCCATCCTCTCGTTTAAATGGAGTCTGACCTTCTTAGACGCCACGGTAAGCGAGGAGGCTTCGTGTGCCGATTGGAGCAACAGGGCACTCAAGCTCCAGCTGTCTCGTTCATGAAATTGTCACCCTCCATGTTGCACAGATGGGTTCTGACTGAAGCTGACGGACATGCTTACATGCAACAGAATTCACAGCTTGCAAGCCACTCTCACCGAAGCATCATAAATGACAGAAGGCGGCACTGTCCTACAGTGGACAACATGCCCTAGACACGTAGCTTTGGACAAAACATGTGTCTGAATAGACAGAAGACATGAATTCTTTCATTATTGACTTATTTATTGTTCAAGAGGAAAAGTAATCGAGAAAGGGAGAGAGATAAGAGACCTTTCATCTACTGCTTCTTTCCCCAAATGGCCTCAATAGCTGAACTTGAGCCAGGCTGAGTTTCAGCCAGGAACCCCATCACGGTCTTCCTCGTGGGTGGGTGGCAGGTGTTTAGGTTGTTAGGGCATCACCTGTTGCCTTCCCAGATGTGTTGGCGGGAAGCTGAAGTGGAGAGAGCTGGGACTTGAACTGCCACTATGATATAAGAGGTTGGTGTCACAAGCAGTTGTTTATCGTGCTGCACCGCAATGCCCGCCCCTGAATTTTTCATTGTATTTTTTTTTAATTTAGATTTCAGCTTAAATAGCCACATATGGCTAATGGCTATCATCCTAAGACATGTTGTACAGAATAACAGCCTTTTGAAAAAAAAAAAAAACGAAAGTAGGACCCATTCCAATTTTTAAAACATTTTCCATCATATCCGAAACACAATTAGCAGCCATGCCCTGTGTGCCAGGAAGAAGCTACCATCCCCACCAGGGAGTGAATTCTTCATGAAGGAAAAAACAGCTCTGACCCAGCAGTAGATGAAAGCAGAAGTCAGAGCCACTCCCCAGCAAGTGCCAGCCAAGTGCCAGCAGGCTGTGAGCAGTGAACAGAGCAAGACTGTCAGGAAGAGAGCAATTCGCCCTCAAAGGACGGGCTGGCTGTCTCAGCCACCTGTCACCGGAGGGAGGACAGAAAGTCCGTGTTAAACTGGTGAAGTTGTAAAAACACAAAGCCAGGTGAGGTGTAGAGTGCTTGTTCAGCAACGGGGCTTCCTGCCTGACATCCACGGGGCGGCTGCGGTTCAAAACAGGAATCCTTTTCATTTCCTAAAACAAGCATTAGCGTCACAAATACTACTCCAGGTCTCCCACGTGGGTGCAGGGTCCCAAGGTTTTGGGAGTCCTTGACTGCTTTCCAAGACCACGAGCAGGGAGCTGGATGGGAAGTGGGGCCACCGGGATTAGAATTGGCGCCCATATGGGATTCCGGGCGCGTTCAAGGCTAGGACTTTAACTGCTAGGCTACCGCGCTGGGACCAATAAAAACAATAGGAGGCTCTCCAATGCTTGAGTAGTGCTTAGTGTTGACTAAAACTGTCCCAAGGGTTTCACACGAATCAATTCACACCAAGCGCAATGCAAGCTCTGGAGGTAAGTGCTGCGCGCAGCCCCGCTGGCAGAGGTCCTCGCAGGCTAGCAAACGGCAGAACCGGCTGCGAAGGTCAGCCAACCTGCCTGGCTGCCAGGCCGGGGCCTTCCTCCTTCACCAGGGCCTCCTCCAAGCCGAGAGAGGTTTCCGCGCACTGAGCGGACCCGCCAGGAACCGTGGTGGTGTTACTGCTGGATTCTGATCCAGAAAAAATGATGCTTAACTTTCTCCCCGTTCTGTTTTTCCCCTCCCACCGCACACTCTCAGAGGATGGAAATGCTTAAGGCAGACTGAGGTAGTGTGAGACCACACCATGTAAGTGTGAGCATGGCTCCGGGGGGCCGGGGAGGGTGGCAGGTGGCGGGGAGGAGGGCCAGCTGTGTGTCCTGCGCTTCTGCTTCTGCTTCCGGCCCCGCATGTCCTTCCCGCTGCTGCGCTCGGACTTGTGCTTCGGCGGGCGCTTGGGCCGCATGAACGCTCATGGACACCTCATGGGCTCCTGTCTACGTGCTTCGCGCCCCGTCCTCTGCCAGGAGCAGAAGCCACAGCCCCCTCGCAGGTGCCAGCCTGGCACCTCCCAGGTGGAAGGAGCTTGGGCACGCTGCAGGGAAGGGTGCAATGAATGGGGTGCTCGGTGCTCCGCGCCGTCGCGCCCCAGCCATGGATGCGTGCCCGTGGGATTCTGTGCCGCGTCGCACAGCCCCATTCGCAGCTCGCTGTGCTGTCGGATGACCCGAGAGTGGATACTTGGGGAAAACACACACACGCACAGCCCTGTGGCCCTTCCTCGCATGCGCCTGCAGGCGCGCACACGCGCACAATTCCTTTGGGTGTTGCTTGCTTCTGCATAAACCTCATTTCAACTTTTGAGCGAGCCCCATGCCTGACCAAGTAGGCAAGCAGAGTCAATAAAAGAGGGAGGGTGGGTTTGTTCCTCCCCATGGCGCATTAGCAAATAAGACCCTGGCTCACTGTGCGGTGCGTCCCCGCATGAGGTAATGGGGAGGGGAGAGAATTTGGCACGACCTCTGTTGCCAACCTTGCTGAAGTGTCCTGTGGGGTGGTGGGTCTGAAACTTTTCAAACTGGGTATCAGAGACAAAAATTTTAAATTGAAGACACCCCCGGCCTGCCTGACCGCCACCCAAGCTCCCTCGGGGCTCAGACACAGGCACGGAACTCAGGAGCTGATGAGCTGCTAGCACGATATCCTACCTACAATTCCCTTCATTCATGGAAAATAAATGAGGGCCTAACAGGAGAGCAGGCAGCCCGCCACGGGGCAGGACCCCCAAGCCGCCTCTTCTCAATCAAAGCCATGGGTCGGTGCCGTGTCCCAGGCCATTTCTCTCTGCTAGGGACCCCGGAGTACCCTGGATAAAACAAGCTCACATCCCGGAGGGAAGAGCCTCAGGTCCTGTTCCTGGGAAAGTTCCAGCACCTTCCAGGACCCTGGGGTCTAAGTTTATAGAAGGAGGCTTTCAAACTTTCACACAGGACATGAAGAGAAGTTTGCTCGTTAAGTTGGGGCTGGTGCACAGCTGGTTTCCTCCCGGCGGTATGCATCCTCCGCTGTCAGGGAAGGAAAGACACAGTTGGGCAGTACAAGTGGGCCCACTTTGAGCTTCCATCAGTTAAGTTTGGCCTAATGGGGACGTTTACAAGGCAGTGCATCCGGCCAGGAGCGGCCTTCCTTCTGGGACTACCACGAACACGCATGATTTCCGTGGCTTGACAATACCTCCCGTGCCACCCCTCGCAGCGCCCTGACAAGTCAACCAGCTCGGGAAGGAAAGGGATTTTCAGCCTGTTTCAGGTCCTCCCAGACCCTTTTAATAAAAAATCCTTCTCTGCCCTCTAGTGGCCGTATTAGAATCGGCAGCCGTCTGAGATAAAGCCCATGCTGCCCCTAAACTGCAGCCAAGTTCCTCCAAGTTCTGTCTGGAAGCAAGGATGAGATGACTGACCCCTGCCTTTCTGGCCCAGATACCCCTCTTCCCACAAGCCCCCAGGACCACAGCTCCCAACACTGGGCCAAGGGCTTCCCTTACGACAGTTCAATGGGTTGCACCAACTACTGCCAGATTGCATTTTCGTTCTTCTAAACCAGCGCTGGTCAAGTTGCACCCCAGCTCCCCCCACCAGACCAGCAGCCTGGGCATCACCCAGCAAATGCTTGGGAATGCAGATTCTCAGACTCTGGGAATCAGGAGCTTAGGGGGAAAAAAAAATCGTCACCGAACAAAGAAAGGACCGGAAGCTGACTCACAGCCAAATCAAATTTATTTTCAGATCAATAAATCAAAAGAGAATCTATGTGCAGACAGAAGAAGCGCGTGTTGGAGGCCCAGTTTTCCAACAGACTGGGCTTTTTATCATTGGAGGGTCTTGACGTGCTGAGGGGTGGGGGAGTTTGAAGAATGACTGCCCAATCTTTTCAGATAGATGCTGAGCCAGATGCAGAAAGTCCACTGAGCTGTACTGCAAAGGGAGGGGCAGGGATAGGACAAAGGGACTGCATTTGGGAGTTACAGGGGAGCCAGGCTGTGTCCTTGCCCCCATCACAAACTCTGGAATGAGGGTCAGAAGTCCACGTCATGGAAGTGGCTGAGGAGCCTGCCAGCGCACGGGAAGCACGGGACGCGAGATCGCATCTCTCGGTTGGTGCAAACGTCGGCTGAGACTGCACTGAGTTCTTAGCTTTGACCTTGCCCAGCCCTGTCTCTCATAAAGGTCATGTCTTTTTTGTGTGTAAGTTCTGAAGCCCTTGACCGCCCAGTGGTTCTGCAGTGGGTTACAGAGTGTGAGTCCGTGTTCGTCCCAAGTTATTCCAATGTTGTTCCTTCATTCACGCTGTTCTCTTGAATCGGAGATAAACGCTGGCCATGAACGAGACCTCTCCATGCACACAGGGTCTTTGGAAACGCTCTCGCAAGAGAGAGCTCAGTGGAGTTGGCATCCTAATCCAAAAGTCAACTAAGAAAGCACATGAGGGCCCAGCGCGATAGCCTAGTGGCTAAAGTCTTTGCCTTGCAAGCCTCGGAACTCCATGTGGGCATCGATATGGGTCCCGGATGCTCCATCTAGCTCCCTGCTTGTGGCCTGGGAAAGCAACAGAGGGCAACCCAAAACCTTAGGATCCTGCAGTTGCGTGGGAGACCCTGAAGAAGCTCCTGGCTTCGGATTGGCTCAGCTCCGACCGTTGCGGCCGCTTCAGGAATGAATCAGCAGATGAAAGATCTTTCTCTCTGTGTATTTGACTTTCCAATAAAAATAATTAAATCTTTTAAAAAAGAAAAAACAACTTAGGACAGCGTGGAAGACCACAGGGCGGAAGGAGAGCGCGTTGTAGTTAGCACTGCCGAAGTGTTTTTCTCCCACTTTGTGAACCATTTTCATTAAGCACTGGGTTTGCAAACCCCGTAGTTGCACCTGCCTGTGCTGCAGTGTTGCAATGCTAACCTGACCACGTCCCAGTCTGTACCCGTAGGCCCTGTTGATCTTAGCCTTGCATTCACAGGAAAAGTGAGAGAGAAACAGAAACGTACAGGAACTCAGTATGTTGAGCGCCACGGGAGTGGGGCAAGGGATGGTCCTTGCTCTGCCCATTGGGGCTGTCAGATACCATGGGCCGCTGTCACAAATGACCTTGGATGTGCCTGGGAGAGACTCGGAGGGAAGCAACTCGCAGCGCCGGGGTGGCGAGCTCAGGCTTAGGTACATGCGCAGTCGAGATCAGGGAATGAGCTTGTGGGTGGGTGTTGCTGGTTGGAAGCAGTGACCAGGAAAAGGGCAGGAATGGGTGGCTGGCGCTGCTGTGAAGTCGGTGCCCTCCATGCAACATCTGGTGACCGATAGCCAGTAGCATTTACTGTCTGGGGGAAAGGAGTTTCCCAAAGAATTCAGTGCAAAATATATATATATATATATATTATATATATATATATAATTTCCCATAACAGCAGCATTTTTCTAAGTAAAATGGATGAGACTATTCTAAATGTGATTTAAAAAAAAAAAAAAAAAGACTCGCCTGGCTCTTTCTCCCAGGTCAGGGAAACTTGACTTAAAATGCAGCTTGCTATGGCACTGAGTGCTAAAGCATCCAGCCAGACACACCTCCCTGCACATCCTCCTGGACGGAGGTCAGCTCTGCAGGTGGCCGTGGGAGGCCTCGTGTATTTCCTGTGAAGCTGTACTGTCACCTTGATCAGCTTTATCCCAGCTTTGTAAATTGAAAAGGAAAAAAAAAAAAATGTGTTCCTGGCATCCACAGCCTGTTAAATTGCTTCTGATTAATAATTGAATCTTAAGACCCTCTCAAGACAACAAGAGATTAGCGGGGAGGGGAGAGCAGCTCTGAGCCCAGTGCCCTGTCGTTATCCACAACCGTGGGTACAGGATGGAGCTGGAACTCCAACAGAGTCCAGATGCTGGGGCGTGTATCCTTCAAAAAACCTGTCGTGAAAACACACAGGAACAGACTGATGGGCCTTTCAACTATGTCCAAGTAATATGCATGTTTTAAAGATTTTTTTTTTTTGAAAAGTGGTAGTTATAGCGAGAGGAGAGACACAGAGAAAGAATCCTCTATCCGCTAGTTCACTCCCCAGATGGCCACAACAGCCAAATCTGGATCAAGCTAAAGCCAGGAGCCAGGACCCAAAGCGGAACGCCGCCTGGCGTGTTCCCGCCACCTTCCTGAGCAGACGAGCACAGCCGGAGAGAGACGACCCCCGTTCATTCGTGGTTGGCGCCTCCATGTCCCCTTTCAGAAATGGCTCCAAACTCCTTCACTCAGACCTGCATCATGCCTGAGCTAGGCTCATCCAGGGACAACTTCTCCAAGTCTCTTTGCGCGCCTGAAGTCCTTGCATTCTCTTATTGTCTTGTTTTGTCTCAGGGCTCTCCCTGTGCCGAGCTGACCCCCTGTCCTCCTCCCCTTTGGTCCTTCCACAGAAAGAAGTTCAAACATTACTTTCTTCTTTCCCACACGGAAGCACCTGCTAGCGTTACCGCCGTCCCCCACCTTAAAGCCTCAGTCATGCTCTCACCTTTTCAATACCAACATCTCATTTAAAAGGTAAATCTCTAGGGCTGCTGTTGTAGTGAAATTGGTTAAGCCCACCTCTATAGGAACATCCTATAGCAGGGTACTTCTGATTCCCAGGCACTCCGCTTCCCATCCAGCTCCCAGATAATGACCTGGGAAAGCAGTGGAAGATGGCCCAAGTGCTTGAGTCTGACACCCATGTGCGAAACCTGGATGAAACTCCAGGCTCTTGGCTTTGGCCTATTCCAGCTTCAGCTGTTGCG